TGGCAAATCACAATATTTTGCTCAACCTCGCCCAGTAAAAAAAAATCCTGAATTACTGACATATCAAGTATTGAACTAAATTTAACCAAAATTAAATTTATTATTACGCCTTTCAATAACATGCGGATTCTAAAATTCAAAGCTCAACCGACAAATACTTTTTTCGCTACCATCAATCAAATGTTCGGTGGCTCCTCCAAGCTTCCAAATACTGCCGAGCAGTGTTTCATTGTCTGAACTGTGCTCAGCGATTTGATTACCTTGCGCTCAAATATAGTCGGAAGCTGGGAGGAGCTGCCGAACATTTGATTGACGGTAGTGAAAAATGCATTTGTCGGTTGAGCTTTGAATTTTGAAGTCTGAACGTTATTGAAAGGTAGAGTAAATGGGTAAATTAAAATTATAATTTAATTGTTATTTTTTGTTCTGTATTGTTCCCATGAGCCAAAAATATTATTACAGACACGTTTTAATACAAGGGAACATGCACCAGTCATACAAGTTCAAAATGGCAAACCAAATTGTTATTTACTTTGTTAGATGAAGTCTTGAGGCATCTATTCCTGAGATAAGCTGCAACAATCAACAAAAAATACCATCAATTCATTGATACAATGTGTGCCAGTAAATGTTTACCTTAAGACACTAAAATGTCAACAAGTCAATTGAGTCATATTAAGTCTTTTAAGTATATATTATCAAAGCTGTGGTCTAAGAAAGCTTTAAGAGGAGCCCAAAGGCTCCTAACCATGAAATCCTGGCTGCCCAGCATGAAAAAAGTAAGTTTTTCCAGTCACCCAAAGGTAAAAGTTAGTTGCCTGTAGCACCTGGCGTCCCTAGAGCACAACCGTGATTGTGTTTCCATTACCATATTATTGAGATCCAACCATAAACAGGCCAACTTGAACACTATTCAGGTTGAACCGAGAGCTACTCAGACGTGTTAAAGTGCTACAAAGGTTGACCAGTGGGCAGAACTCTATAACCTGGAATGATGCATTATGGCAATACTCCTGGTTGCTATATGAATTCTTGGCACTAGTAGTATGGCTGCTTAAATAGTATAATTATGTGCATGACATGTATGCAGAGTATATGACATGTTTGTTGAAGTTAACACAACAAATCACAGAGGAACCTCCTAAACTATATGCAATTCACCTTGAAATAGGTTTCAGCGTGATGATGTGCCTTGAGAGCCCAGACTATTTCCATCTGTGCCTGCAAAAGTAAGTCAATATTATTAACTTAAGTCTTCAGATGAGAAGAATTTGACTACAAATACCTGAACTGAATGGGGTGATGCAACTACTGGAAAATGTAACCCAAAATGAAATTTAAAGAAATAAGATTAGAACAAAATTAAGAATGTCCCAGGGAAGGTAATAATGGTCAGTGATAGGTAATTACTGGTAACAATCACCTCTGTGTCTATGGAGATTTCCTTGTTTGGTTTGTTCAATTCATGCAGTTTGGTGAAATGCTTATAATTGTTAAATGAAGTTTAACATCGTTTCAATTGAATGATTTAGTATTTCTTGAGAGCACCACTTTTAGGGACAGGGGTGGCTATATAGGTTGGTGTGGCCCCAAGAATGGTGCATGATGGTGTTTTCTTCTTGAATGAATGAATGAATGAAAACTTTACCAACATGTCACGATTAGCTAACTGGGGCACCTAACTAAAGTCAATAATCTAAAGCCTTAAGTCTCAAGCGAATTGGCGCAATTTTCATTTAAACCCCTTTGTGGTTTAATAACAAAGGAGAAACAAAGTGAATTCTGGTAGCTGTAGTCAAATGACGACATAAACTGCTTGCTATTCAAAAAAATAACATGTGACTGATTAGACAACATGTACTCTACCATCTAGGTTATTATAGGTTGCGTGTGAAGATATATTAATAATACGTGTATATTAACTTTGTTTTCCAGAAAACGTTAACGTTTTTAGTGCCCCATCAAATGTGTTTAATGTAATTCACAGAGGTTTTAAAACCACACGTTTAAGCTTACGCTTGCTGGCGAGCTTCCGACTCTATATGGTATGTTCGAGTTAAACTACTTAATAGTGGTGCCCGTGTTCTGAAACTCTCGACGCGAAATCATCCCGAACAAACTGTCACACAGCAAGGGAAATTTGGTGAGTGTCATGCTTACGAGTTTACAGAAAACCTCAAAGAATCGGCATGTATGTGGAGTGATGGATTGAATTGATTCGTTTTGACTTGCACGTGGACTTGTTCTACTCACATCGTTCCCGTACTTGTTCGGGTCCATATCCAACCCAGATTCTCCTGCCATGGCTTGAAGACTGTTAAGAATAAACAGCACAAAGCAAAAGAAATCAAAAAGAAGCCCAGCGCAAAAATATCAGAGTTTTTCAGTGCTTTATGAAGCACTGAAATATCAAAATGTCCGCTCACTCAGGAAACATGTCAAGGTTTAGTACGGTGTGTAACAGAAACAACACTTCACCTATTCCCACCTACCATTGCGGCCCTCTTATAGTAGGGGATTTTGTAGGGGATGCCCTGGGGATGTCCCGCTGAGGATGCCCGAAGGCGAAAAAAGAGACAGAAACAGGGAAAGAGAAATCGTGCAAATACTGCAAATAAAGTAAAAGAAAAAAATAAAACTGTGCGGACGAACCCCCCAAAAATATCTTGCACAACTTGAAATTGGAATAAAACTCTTGCTTAGAAAAATTGCTATCCACCCCCCTTCCCCGCTTTCTATTTATTACTTCTTTCAATCTTCTTGTAGTATTTAGCCAAGATGTTTATCCGGTTTATTTCTTCTTCCTTTGCCTTTTCACGACCATAATCAAGTACATGCAACAGCATTAATAAAACACTAACAGATGGTTGTTAAGGACGGTGCCTACATTAGGCTGATTTAGCAACAGGACGGGAACGTCAGATGACGACTGCAGGTCGCGCGGAATAACCTGGATTCTATTCTAATTTGACCAAATTTGGGTATATGTACTGCGCGCGCCGTCGTCAAGTGACGTTCCCGTTCTCTTGCTAAATCGACCTATTGTTAGTGCGCACACGTTTTGCGCATCACGTAAGGCTACACGAGCGCGCTAGGGTTGGCATTGGCGTGATCAACTACGCTACCAAGTACGCGACTAAAATGAAAGCAAAATTTTCCTACTGTAACCATGGATGAGAGACTATCCATGCTGTGACCAAATCAAGTTTAATGAACCTGTACTAAAACCAGGAATGCCAGAATAATAGAAGCGTATCGTTAACTACTAACTGTTAACGGCTTCCAGCTGAAAAACTAGCTGTTATCTGTCGAAAATTATACTGAAATCCAGTAGTAAACATGCATGTACCTGGATGTACCTGCAGATGGCGTCGTGCTCGCGCAAAACAAGTGCGACAGATGCAAATGTTTTTCTTTTTTTTCAACTAGGGAGGTGACAAGAAAAAATGTCACGGGCACCGGAAAAGTTTTCAAAAAAGATGAATAACTTTAAAAAACGCTTGGTTACCCCTGCATTTTATGTTATGAAATGAAAGTGGCAAGCCTATTCAACACTTGATCAGTTACTGGTTTTGAGGAAAAGCTATTTAGAATGTATTTTAGCTGAACCAGAGGAAGGTTGTCAGAGTCGCTATAAAAGCGCTATTGCAACGATTTTGTTATTAAAAACATACTAAATATGGTTTTTATGTCACCTTTTACCAAGTAATTTTAAGATCTTTATAAATGTGTTTGCTTTCTGTATGTAACGGCGAATTCTGAGGAAATTTGTGACGAATTATCCTTTCCCTCTCTTTTCAGAAAAATGTTGATGTCAGCATTTTTGCTGAGATTCAAGGCTAATGATCTCGAAAAAATTCGTGGCTACCCCCCATTTTTCTTTGTGGATTCCAATAGCCCTCGCAAAGGTCCACTTTTTTCACATGGTCCTAATCTGGCGCAAAAACCTTTGTATTTAGTAGGCACCGTTTGACGTTTGGAAAACACACAAACAACAAACAAAACTCTCCCGTTGCGAGGTCTTTATGAACGCGTCATCCAACTTTTAATCAAACTTTACAGGAAACAAAAATTCAACAAAGCAGCAAACTGATCAACTCCGCAGTCACCCGCGATAATTAAAATTCAATCTGCCGGTGGTCTCCATACCCACCTGGTATTTCGCAAGGTCATAAAAAATACATCACACAATAGACCCTTTTCATAAATGGCTGCTAATTATTAATTCTTTTGTAAGTATTAAAATTAGCCTGACTAACCTCGTTTTTGAGTTGATAATTCAAAAGAATTTTTACTCCCAAACGAGTTTAGTAACGCTAATTTAAATGTATACAAAAGAAATTTAAATTGGCAGCCATTTATGAAAAGGGTCAAAGCCTGCACAAAAAATTTTTTAAACAAAACAACTAATCCCGGATAATCCTGTTAACGGACTCAGCGTGGCACTTCGTTTACGGTTTTTCCAATTAACCGGCCGCCAGCCGCAAACTACAACAAAATCCCGACTAGCTACAAGGCAAGAGGTGGATTTTGTTCGCTATCATTAAGGTAGACTTTTAAAACGCCAAAGACAACTTCCACCGGTTGTTGTGAGAAGATCTCGTCACAAGTTGAAGGTAAAGCATGTTTGATGCTGTGCTTATTTGTATAAACCTCATCCTGATCGAATTCCAAGAACTTTCTATATGATAACTCCCAGTCAGTCAAATACTTTTAAAATTTAATTAACCCGGGTTACATTTTTACCATATGAGTGAAAGATGCCTCATCAAATCTTGCGACAAAAATTTCCCGGGATTGGACAAACATAAGGCTACTAGGCATTAAGAAGCTGTTTATATTGCGAGTCAAACTGCAATACGACTTCTCCATATTTTTCCAGATGTGTATGTAGCAGGCGGTTATAACTTGGGCCTAGTGGTGTTTGAGGGTTTACCCGCGGTCGCAAAAAGCTACACCGTGATAAAACATTGTTTCTTGGCCTAGGACAGCATACCACACTTGATAATTGAATTAAAAATAATATTTTTTAAATTAAGACTTTGAATTTTAATAATTTTTTCTCAATTGACCCGTATTTAGTTCACAACGAAAAGCATATTTACAAATCATGAATTTTAAGGCAAGCTGTACATACTGGGGGCACATAAACAGAACAGAACGTTTTACGCCCGAGATTTCACATTTCGTTACCCAATCACGCGTGCACGTGCCAAAGAAAAATTTATTTTTAAAAATACTGTTCCTTGTCTTCAGATGATAAGTAGAAACCTAACAAAGAACTGGTGTTATTAAATAGTAATACAGAGCTGGATGAAGTGGATTAGAGTCAGCCAGACGACATGGTCTGGTAGCTGACTAGTAAGCTTTTATCATGGAAATATTGGTTCACAATATAAACACAATTTTAAGAACTTTCCTTGGGGCTCGTTTTAAACATGAAATGTCGAAATGGCACTACGGTTAGCCTAAATAGCGCTCAGGTTAGCCTTAATATCACTGATTCAACAGTGGTTGGCTCTCAATAATTATAAGGGTTAACTCTTACAGACACCCTTATATCACACCGACTCTTACCCATGGTGCCATTTCGTCAGGTGTTTAATGTATCTGTCGGAATTCTCTCCACTCCTCTTGCCCCAACCACCCCTCTTCCCTAGAGGTAGCAGTCTCGTCTGCTTTAAAATTGTTTACTTTAGCCTTCCACTCGACAACGTTGTCTCAAATATGATGAAAATATGCATATGAACGTGACAAGGAAACATTCGCATGCAGCACGTACCAGCCTAGACCCAGTCCCTCCTACTGAGAGCTATTTATTCATGTTGACACATACACAAGTTGACCACAGGTACAACATCCAGCAGCGTTTCTCAGACTTTCGAGTGGAACATGGCCATTTCCACAGCCTTTGCTAATTAGCAGGTAAAAGTATTTCTTTTATTGTTTTTCCTCGAGTTTAGTGACGTTCTTCGACTTCCGCCTACGAAGACAAAGCACGTTTCAGAGTTGGTGTGATCTGATGTAATATTAAGCGAGGTTGTTGTTCGTTGTCAAATTTCGTCTGGAAAAAAAAGTTCTGTCTCGATTTATGTTTACCGAAATCTTAACGAAATTGCACGGTGAGTAACACATTCAACACTAAAAGGAGTCAATTTAGCGAGTTATTTTGGAAAGGCTGCATTTCGATATGAACTGATGGCGTCAACAGCCGAGTGTTAAAGCCTCGGGTATGCCTTGTAATATATTTCTTGCCGTACTCGTTTTTGTGGTGACTGCATTTAAACGAAAGATTTTCAGTTCTCTTGGTGCTACAGAACTATAATTAGTTAGTTTTGAGCAAAAGAGGGTTCACCTTTTAAGCTCGACCGAGACAAACGTAAAACGTTTTCAAATTGTCCAAAAGCTATGAATATGAAACAGACAGTTGTTGTCTATTTCATTACCATAATTTTTCGCTTTAGCATATCGAAGGGCGACATTTTTTTTCATTTTAGCTTTGTCGTAACCAGAAGTAATTTTTCATGAGAACACAATTCTAAAATCTTTTATTTTGCCATGTATATAACAAGAACGAACAAGATCATAGTTTGCGCTTTGTTAGCAAATTTTAAACGCACCTCCGCACACACCCCCAGCACTCCCACAAATATTTCATCACGACTTCAATAACACCATGGTCACCTTTATCGTTCTAATTCGAAAAAATGCGAAAGAACTGATCATGTTTCTATTTTTTTTTTTTTTTTTAATTTAATAAATTTAAATACGGTGGAAGAAAACTCCTTGTCTGAAATTGTTGATCCCTAGCGATCGACCATGTTGAAATCGAGCTAGACGTGAACGACCTCATTTCCCTCACAGATGACGGAAGATTCAGACCTTTAAATTTGGCAAGAGGATGGATTGAGATTCATTGTGAGTATAGCCTGCGAACTGATTTCGCTTGCGTGACGCGTGTTAGTATTGCCGTAGGGCAAACTGAAATGAAGATGTTTATTAGTGTTGATCGTTTTCTTCGACCAAAGTGCTTTCATCACGGGATTCCGTCAGACATGTCTTTCCAAATCCAGTGGTGGCTAATAGTCAAGAACGGACCAAGATTACCAGTTTACACGCCAGAAATATATCTGAGAGCCGTGAAACATATTCATCAATACACTTACTGTAGAAAACCTTGCGAAATATTTGTCGTGATCAGATAAAGTCTGATCTTAATATATTCAAATCAATTTGTTTTCATAATAACATGTTTCCTTTTTGCTTTGGAAACAGGCTGAATCAGGAAGCTCATCAATTAAGTTGAACTTCTGTAACTGGTTATATATCTTATTTATTTGGCTTAAGTTATATGGAGAGGTAGAGATCTACATTTTGAACATATCTCGCACATTGAGTGCTATGGTTAACAGGCAAGCCAATACATAGAATTGGTTTTAAATTGAAAACGAAAGCACGGTTGTGCATAATTAATGATGTAGAGCTAAGATTACATATATTAAGTGATCCTGTTTTCAGTAAATCTAAACAAACACCACCAGTGTTGTTGCAGAAGTTAAATTTACATATTTTAATGAGATTTATCGTGCAGCAGGTCAGGAACATAGATATCACTCACACAAGGAAGGCTAATTTTAGAACAAGACAATCATTTAATTTGTACTCCAGCTGGGCCTTGTTGTTCAAAGCACACTTAAACTAATCCAGGATTAGTGTGAAGTTTGATTTAATTTCATTTATGACTTTTGTCTTATAATGTTTCAGTGATATTTCTGTCCTCCAGTTTTGATTTCGATACGCACAGAACTACCGGTAATCTCAAACTCCGCAAAAAACACTTTATTTATTAATGAAAGAAACTTGAATCTCAAAAAACTGTCTCAGATAAGAGTTAATCAGCTTTTAACTACTTGACCCAGTGAGGTCCTACTCAATCCTTTTTCATGTCATGTGCCTTCCTGTAGAGTAGGTGGACACTTTTCCTGATTCCTGATTAACAAGCAGTTGTGGACCTCACCACAGGCAAACATGATATGCTTATTTCTCATTCTCAAATAAATTTTTAGTGCTTCCAGCTGAGATCAACAAGGCCTGGCACTTATCTTTGCCTTCAGCAGCATGAAGCAAATATAAGGAGTTAGGTTAGGGTGCAAGTCTGTTACAGGATACCCCCTCCCTCCCCTGGCAAGCATTTAATTTGCCAATACCAATGTCTTGAACAAAGAACACAACACAATATTATGGTCAGGGCTAAAATGAGGAGTACTTAAATCAGAGTCCAGCGCACTAACCATTAGGCAACAACCACACCTCCCTTCTAAGTCAGGATAAATCGTAACAGTAGGTTTGTTGTTTGGTTTCTGTATGCTGTTATCATAAGTTGGGAGGGGTTATGTACAACTCCTTCATTATTCTGAGGCTTGCTACTTATCTTTTGCTATGATTTATCTTTTATCTTGGCAGATCTGTTGAAATAAGTGGCTGAGATATATAGGGAAAACAAGTTTGGATTGATTTGGAACAACACAACACATCAGTTCGCCAGATAAAGAAACCGATACAATGCAGGAAGATATTCCTTCTCCTCCAGCAAGTCCTCCATTCTGTAAAGAGCATCCAACAGAGGTCACTAAATTCTTGTGTCAAACTTGTGGAGACATAGTATGTAGAAACTGTGTTGTGCGAGAACATCACAGGAATCACAAGTACCTCTCCATTCAAAAGGCCAGTGATAAGGAACGGCAAGCTATCCAAGAAAGCCTTGACAGCACAAAGCAAAAACTAACTGGTCTTCATGGCTCGATTTTTTGGGTGGGAGAAATGAAGAAGCAAGTGGAGATGCGGGCTTCCGAAGCAGAGAGAGAAATCAATTATCTAATTGATCAAAACATAGCAACACTGGAGCGTAAACGTGCCCAACTGAAAAGAGATGTTGCAGAGTTGCGTGACAAGAAAGTTCAGCAGCTTCAAACTCAGATGGAAACCTTAACCCTTGCTCATGAGGAAATTAGGAGAGGTGTAGAATACACTGAACATGCTCTGGGTCAAATATCAGATGTGGAATTGATTACTATGAAAAGTCAGCTTTCTTGTCTGCCTGATTTTAACGAAGTTGCTTTACAGTGGAAACCGTGCCGCACCAACAACTTTGGCATAGAAGTTGACAAATCCTTAGCCGTTGATGCTATTGTTGACAAGATGGCACGTGTCAATGATGAAGACCATCAAGGGGGTGATCAGTATGTCCTCAGCATGCTTGGAGGAAAGAATGGAGAGATGTTCACTTCTAGATGCCAACAGAGGTCCTACTTTGTTGTCATGGCAATGGATGACCTGGCAAGGGCAACCAAAGTCGGGGTAAATCTAGTGAAAGTACAGATCAAGCCCCCTGGTGATAATGAGCTTCAGAATGTCATCATGGGGAGTAAAACAGATAACCACACTTTCTCCTATTGTCCCAGTGTCATGGGCACCCACACCATACAGGTCTCAGTGGCAGGACATTGCATTACAGGGGAGCCAGTACCCTGGAAGGTGGAACCTTCAGTCTATATTCTCAACCCTCAATGTGCTGTTCTTCCACCAGAGGTTGACCACCAAGACAAGGAGTCACTCACAGGATGTTGGTTCAGTCATGGCCGGCATTCTTGGCAAGTTCGAATTCTAGCACCTGACAAGTTAAGACGATCTGCTGACCCAAAGCTCTTTGAGGTGGGTGTCACCAATGGTCATTGCACTTGGCGCTGGAGTGACTGCAATAAGTACTATCCAAATTCGTCTGCCATTGTAAGCACTATCAGCAGCTGGCAGTGTGGGGACTTATTGTTGTTTTACCTCAATTTGGATTTGAAACAACTTGTGATCTACAACCAGCGTTCGCATGAGATAGATACCTGGGATGGAATTACAGTTCCTATTCGTCCATACATTAATCCACAGTCAACTAAAATCTTTGGATTAAACTAAACATTCTTTTGAGGATTGTTATTCAAACTGGTCGGCACCGTAGAAGCATAATCACAAATGTGAAGGATGTCACACCAACCTGACTGGTATAAAATAAGAAGACCTGAACTGTAGCCCAATTACAATCCAGAACAGCATTTCTTGAATCAAAGTAGAGGAGTGAAGTATGATATGATTGTGCTAAAAATGATCATATTCAGGCTGTAAATCCCCGCCTCCCTATCACCACCAACCAGCAGCTAAGATATTGTTAAGGAAACTGGAAGGAGTTCCTCGTATGAGTCACAAAGAAAAGGCTTTGATCCCTGTAAGATAACTCCTGTCTTGAATTCAAAAGCCAAGTATTCTAAAAGCAAGGCATTAACTACTATTTAAATTTAAGCAAATATGCATATTTAGGTAAGGAAAGAAGGAGTTCCTCAGTCACAAAGAAAAGACTTTAATCCTAGTAAGACAACTCATGTCTTGAAGTCAATCGCCGAATATTTTTGAAACATTAGGCATTAACTAATATTATTTAAATTTAAGCAAATATGCATTAGGTAAGGAAACTGCTTTTAAAAATTATGTCACACTGTGACAGTTAAATATATGCTGTCTATATGCCACAATTTATTATTTTGTTAAGGCCAAGTAAAAAATTAATTCATGTGTGAGGTTCATTCAAGGTTTTGGCATATTTAAGTGAAAAAAGAAGACATAGATAGATTGGTTGGCCAGTAAAAAAGGAAACTAATATTATTTTCATTTTATAATAAGGAAATATGCATTAAGTGAACTCCTTTTAAAATTTCACCCTGTCACAGTATAGAATATATGCCAAGCCTGCAAATAATTTTTGGCCATAAGCAGGTCATTTGTCAGGCCAAAGACAAGTTTTGACCTGGCAAAAAGCCAGTCTGGTTGGACAATTTTTTTTTTGTCATGAGAAATTAAAAATAAGAGACATTTGAGACATTTTGGTATTTCAGTGTAGACCCTTCGCCAAAATGTTCAATGGCTTAAGAGTTAAAACCAATTGAGTGTAAAATCAATATTAGCACCAGAAAGGGGACCTTTACATTAAGTCAGGTATTATTTTACCCTTGAAAATTGACAAATTTACAACCCTTTGTACCCCTAGTTTGCATTCACTCACTTGGTCATATGTGTATAGAGAGTGTGCATTGTCATGCAATAAAAAATAAAATCAAAAACCATTCAGTGGATAAAGTCAAGAAATTGTGATATTATAGAAGATAAATAAAGAAGACAGTTCTCCAAATTTAAGGTGTGTGTGTTGTCCCAAAGTTAAGATATTCCTCGAAGTTTCAGATGTTTACACTGATTTTTGGCTGCCATGTTGGTGGAGCACAGAGCTTCACCAAAATGGCAGCTCCATACTGGGCTTGGTAAATTTGCACAGAACATTTTGACAAATATCTGAAGTTTGGGAAAATGCAGAGACCTCAAACTTGGAGAAGTGCATTCTTCTTCTATCTTCTATTACATTAAAATTTCTTGACTTTATCCACTGAATAGTTTTTGATTTAATTTTTTGTTGCGTGACGGTGAAAACCATCTATAGTGGCGCTGATGTGGTGTGTTTGGGGAATTCCATGTGAGAATGTGAAAAATCCAGATTTTTAAAAAGTGGTTGGACTTAAAATCATACCCTGTACTATGTTGTTGACAAGTTATAGTACATAGAAAAATAAGTTTCAGTTTGCTTGTGATAGCAACACATTCAGGGGGGGNTAACGGTGTGTTTTTTGCTCTATTTTAAAATATAGGCCAGTCAAGTGGAAAACTTTTATAACTCAATTAATGCGTCAGCAGGCACAAACATGATCAGCAATGTAACATTGGACAATCTCTTCCTATCCTTTGCCTGTGCTAGATTAAAGTTTCAAAAATGACTCTGAATGTAACGTCCGTAACTGTGGAAATGCCCGTTTACAATTAGACGTTACATTTGAGACGACACATCGTGTGTGATAAAATTATTTCTCAGAAATGGAGTGAAAATAAAACTATGATAACAAAGCTTTTTTACGTGTGGCAGCATAATAAAATGATGTTACATATTCGGTTACAAATTTCCAGTTAAAATATTTTTCGTTTAGCAGAAATGCCTGGTCAGACTGTCTGACCAGACTAAGCTTTTACCTGTCAAAACCTCAAATTTACCAGACAATTGTCTGATGACCGACTGTTATTTGCAGGCTTGTATGCTGTCTACATGTCAAACATGTAGCAATAATGTATTATTTTGTCACGGCTTAAGTTAATTAACATTAATAATCATTTGTGAGGTTTATGCAAGGCATATTTAAGCAAAAAAGGAGACGTAGATCGATTGGTAAATAGTGTGTATAACAATGTAAAAACCGTGAGTACGGTAGCTACACTAGTATCACTACAAAACCAGGATCTGCAAGATCCAATCTTGAGAGTCCTGCAATTTTAATGAATAGCATGTATCCAGTCCTATATGGATACTCATTTGGCTTGTTATGCTTTTCCTCTGGGTCGCATCTCCCACATTGTGGAGG